CCCCTGTCCAGATCCCCGTGGCCATCGTGGGCATTGTGGTGTTCCGCGAGGCCAGCAGCAACCAGAATCTGGCATCCATCGCTATTGGACTTGGCGCAGGTGGGCAGGAGTGGGCTCATGCCCGTCGCTTGGGGCCGCAGGAAGGGGGGTCTGAGGGCAGACAGACTGTTGGATCATGGCATCGTACGCTGCGCAACAGTCACATCGTGCATCATTCGGCCAGTGCTGTGGGGCTGCCGTTTGCGGCGCATGGCGGTTGTACAGGGTGGAAAGGGACCAGGGTCGAGATCGCCCATGAGCCAGCAGCGCGGCAGCGGCAGCTGTGGCAGCGCCGCATTCAACGATCGTGGCTCGATCGATTCCGGTGGCGCTTACCCCTCCCATTCGCAGGCATCTTATTCGTGGTGGAGCGTGCAAAAGCAAGCAAGGGCTGACATCTTGCGCTGCCCTCTGCTCGCCCATTGCGAGGCTAGCCCTGGCGCCCGCCCAAGTGCGAGCGCCTGCATCGGCTGCCGACGGCCGTGCGCGTATGCGTGCTGCGCACCGACGCCAGCGCGGCTGCGCCGCCGGCCCGGGCGCCATCCATAGGCATAGGAAGAGTTTGAGGCTGACCGGCCACGGGGCCTTGCACTAAACCGCACACTGCGATTTCACTTTACGTTACTTTACGGTGATTGAGGTGCTGAGTACCTGTTCAGGTATGCGCGCACACACGCATGCATATATTGTTGAAAGCAAACAAGAAGATGTGCTGTTGAATACAGGGGTACCAGGGCCGCAGTGATGGCGGGACCCAGCAGGGCGTGTTGGCATGGGGGTGCAGACCAAGGCAGGGGGCGCCATGCAGAGCCAGGCACGCGCGGCTGAGTCGGACCGTACGTTGAACAGATTATTGCATCACGCGACGAACCCGCTCACAGTACAGCCGCAACGGCCACCGCCAGGGCGGCGCCTGCCCAAACCAGCAGGCCCCGCGCCGCGGCGCCCGCCGCGCCGTTCCGGCCCGTCGACAGCTTGCTGCTGTTGCGCAGGGGGGTGCCCGCGGCGGCGTCGTAGAAATCCGTCACCGGCAGCCCGTCCGCGGTCGCGTTGGTCACCCAGCCGCCCGGGACCGAGAAGTTCATGTAGTCGCTGCGCACCGCGCCGCACGCGTCGCGGAACGTGACGACCAGCGTGTGCAGCAGCGTGTCGTTCACGAGGCGGAGCAGGGGGGACGAGCACAGGCCCGTCGAGGGGTCTGTCGCGACGCGCGCGCCGTCGATGGCGCAGGTGGCGTTACCCAGGCCTTGGTACTGCCACGTGACGGCTGCGTACTCGTTCAGCTGTGCCAGGCGAGAGGTTTGGGAGAGGCAGAGCGGTGAGAGTGATGAGGACGATCAGTGCAAGCAAACTGAGACGGTGCGCGGGTGTGTGTGTGTGTGTGTGTGTGTGTGTGTGTGTGTGTGTGTGTGTGTGTGTGTGTGTGTGCGATAGCGGTGGGCCTGGACGAAGCGCTCTCGAGACAGTGGAGGGTGCCTCTGTGGAGGCAAGGTTCTCTGGAGGCTGTAGGTTTCCTGTGGCACAACACAGGCAGGCAAACAGCCTGCAGCCCGCGACCGCAGCAGCAACCGAGCATACAGAATGGCAGGCCCACTGCGACCCCCGAAATTCCCTTACCAACCTGGATTGAGTCCGGCCCGTTGAAGCCGAGCAGCGTCGTGTTGCTGGACTGCACACCGACCAGGGTGCCGTTCCAGGCCAGCGCCCCCGCAAACTTGGGGGCGCCCCTAAGGGAGGCCCCGTCGCTGTTCAGGGCGCCGCCGGGCAGGACATACCTGCAGGCGCGGCGATCGAGATCGCGAGCACGCGCGGCGCGCGGTGCGGCAGTCAGCAGCAGCGGCAGCAAACGCGCGCATGTGCGTGGGCGGCGACAGAGACGGTGAGCGAGTGCCGGGTCGCGGGTGCCAGACTCTTGAAAGCGCCGCGCTGCCGCCGTGCAGGGCGCTTTCAAGGCACCAGCAACCGCGGTCCTCCCCCCGTGACAGCCGGCTTGTGGCCCCAAGGTGCCTGCTTGAGCTCTCACGTCCAGGATGGGTCTGTGTCCTGCTGGTTGAACGTGTCGTTGCCGGCCAGGGACAGCAGGGAGGGGAAGTCGCTGGTGAGGGAGCCCTCCACAAAAACCTGGTAAGTGCCGTCAGCCAGGTTGGGGCTGCGCGGGGCGAGGGGCCGCGCAGAGACAAGGAAGGGTAGGCGATTGGAGGGTGGGCGGGTGTGACAAGCCTAGAACTTGCCTCGTGGGAGGCAAGGCTGGAGAGGCAGATGATAAGGCAGCCGGCCGGCAGATGTCGAATAGCGCGGCAGCCTAGGACGACAACCACCAGCCAAGCTGGCGTGCACACGCTCCCTGCCCCTCCGCGCTGCCGCCCCGCGGGCGGGGTTGCGATTTGGGATGCAGCATGGAAATGCCCGCGCAGCTTACACAGGCACGTCGATCTTGTTGGGGGAGCCCAAAGTCCTAATCCAGTACTGCATACATGTGAAGGGACAATGGCCGGCAGCAAGGTGCGTGGTCAGTGGCGCGCACGCGGCGGCAGCGGCGGCGTTTGTGTTGCCGTACCCCTCCTCCTCCACAAACAGGCAGGGCCAGAGCATGGCGCTCGGCCGCTGTGGCGGCTTTTGCCGAGGCTCGGAGCGCAGATGCCAAGGCAAGCCGTGGGAAGCAGGCAGTGCTCACGCAGCGGCGCTCACCAGGTCAAAGTAGTGGCGCTGCGCGGCTTCAGAAGCAGCGTCCTCGCCTGTGTATGGCTGCCCGTCCAGTCCCTGCAAGAAAAGATGAGGTGCCGAGGGCAGAGCGGCAATGTTAGGATTTGCTCCAGGGGAAAGGCGCAACGGGAAGAGCCGCCGGCGAGGGCTCCTTTTGCATGGCGGCGTGCACCGCCAGGGCTTTGATGCTCGCGCCAGAGTACCGGGGCAGCGGGTTGGTCCTGTATCGGATGAAGGTCACAATCTTGAGCTCGTCCACTATGAGAAGCGCTCACCGCCACAAACTTGCCCCACACGTGGTACACCGGCTTCCAGAGTGCGCCCGCGCCGCCCGGGGCCGCCACCGGCTCGGGCCACATGTCAGTCGCCTCGAGGGTCACTGGCCAACGGAAAGGGCGAGGGGTCCGCGAATGTGAGCGCGCAGCACGCGCAGTAGAGCAGCTGGTAAATGGCGTGGGCAGGTCGGGTGCAATAATGCGTTCAGTCCTGAGTGAATCTTGGCAAGCAAGCGCCTGTAGGGGGCCTGCACCCGCGGCCAGCCAGCGGCACTGTTATGACCACTGGCAGCACCTGCGACTGGCAGGGGAGAGGCACACGCGCGGCACTCGCGACCCGCTTACGATCAAGGGAGCAGGTAAGCGGCTTGAGGGCGAGCGTGGGGCGCTGCACCAGCTTATAGAAAACCACACTCTGGCTGAAGATGACGTCGGTAGCGGGCGCCCTGACGCCGTCAGCGGTGATCGCGGACCCGGCAAGTACGGTGACTGTGATGTTCAACTCGTGCTTGCCCTGCATCGGCCGTGTTGGTGGCGGTGAGGGCAGGGGTGCATGCATTTCAGGCACAGTGTTGGTGCCGGGGGGTCAATGTTGGGGCGCCGGCACCGCCTCCAAGGCCTTGAGGTGCATGGAAGCGCATGCGCACATGGTGGCAGGTACGGTACAGTAAATCCGTGTTGGAGGTTGCCGGCATGTGCATGGGGGTGTATGCAAGTGCATGCAAGTGCATGCGAGTGCATGCGGGCGGGGGCATGCGTGGTCGCATGCACGCATGCATGCAGCTGTACGCCAGGCCCAGAGGCCTCCTGGGGGTGTTCGATGCGGGGCACCCACGCGCCAGCCAGCCTGGCAACACCATGGCGGCACTCAAGCAGCACGCCACCCATCAAGCACAAGGCAGCTCACATCGGCAAGGCCCCAAACATTGGCTGTCCAGGACGGCGGCGTCGCAGTCGCTGCCGCCAGCGTCACGGCCGAGCCGGATGCTGACAAGGCGCCATCAAGCGCCACGCTCCAGGAGAAGGTGCCCGCGATCGCCCCCGCCGGCGCGGCCGCCGCCAGTCGTCGCGACGGCGCCGTCGCAATCGTGGCGCATGCCGCGGGCGGCGCGGCGGCTCCGGCGGCGGTCAGCAGCGGGTGGGAGGGCAGGAAGTTCAGCGCTGGCTGCGGCGTGCCCAGCAGGGCGATGGGAAACAATGCCCCGCGGTCGGCGTTGCCTGCGGCACCCTGGTTTGCCAGCGTCCAGGCCTCAGGCTGGTTGATGGTCCCATCGGGGTAGAAGTTGAACGCGCCGAGCGCGGCGCACGACTGCTGGGCCGCTACGAGCGCAGCTGCATAGGATGTGGGCGGTGCAGTGGCAGAAGAGCGTGTTTTGGGTGGGGACAGCGTTGGTGCCGTGTGACAGCACACAGTTGTATGGCGTAAAAAGCCAAGCATCCAGAGGCTTGTGTGGGGCTATCCAAGGGGGCAAATGCCGAGCGAGCGCCCGGCGTGCGTTTGCTCACCTGGTGCTGGACACGCCAGCACACACAGCAAGAGGGCAAGCCGCGTCTTCTGCATGCCGGACAATGATTGAAACTACTGCTTAGAATTGTATCAACGAATTGAGACGCCCGGAAACACCTTGTAAAGCAAGATCTGTGCGAAGTGGAGCCCGCGGCAAGGAGTTTTCGTTGCGAAGCCAAGCGAGGCCCTGCAACATAACCAAACTTGGGGTGGAAAGTGACATTCAACGGACCAATCGTGCTTTGCAAACACTAGGACTGCACCTATCGTACTTCTGCCCAGACCAGTGCTTGGTCACATTGTCTGCGTGTGGACTGCAATTTTGCCTGTCCACGCATGTGCCCAGGTTGCGACAGCGCGTTACAGAGCGGCCTGACCTATGCCGTAACAACCCTGAATGCATCAGTGCTTGCAAGCAGCATCTGCCCATACGCCTGCTCGACGCCGTCGCGCAGCTGCGCCGCCGTGGCCAGGAGGCGCCCCATGTCTCCTGCCTCGACGTCGCAGCCTTTGCCGCAGCCGCTGCTGCCGCCGTCGCACGCGTCGCGCAGCCGCAGGGCCTCGCCAAGCAGCGCTCGCAGCTGCGTCACACGGCCCTGCAGCTGCTGCAGGCGTCGCAGCGACTGCTGGAGGCGAGGCCGGTCAGATTCGAGCGCCCACCCCTCGTATCGCACGCAGCCACCACTTCCGGCGCTCCTACTGCTGCCACTTCTGCTGCTGCTCACATCGAGATCGCCCGCCGCCGCCGCGGCGCCATGTGGTAGCAACTGCGCATGCAGCGCCTCGACCACCTGCCCATGCGCCTCTGCGACGCCGCGTGGCGTGGCAGCCGCGATGCGGACGAGCACGGCGGCGTCCGCGGGCTGCTCATGCCGCGGCGCCGCAGGAGCCCCTGGCGGTGCGACGGGCAGCTCCCAGGCGACTTCCACGGCGTCCCGCCCTCCCCCAAAGCAGAAGCGCCCCCTGCCGCTGCGGTCCGTGCCAAAGTCCAGCGCAGGCAGGGGCGCAAAGCTGTGCTGAGAGCTAGCAACTGGCCCTCTCAAAACAGGGCCCAGCCATGCCGCAACGCGGGCTGCCGCGTCGCCGTCAGGCCCCGTCCCAGCGCCTGGCTGTTGCTGCTGCTGGTGGTGCTGCTGCTGGTGCTGCTGCTGGTGCTGCTGCCACTGCCTGTCGGCACCCTCCATGCCACTAGCACCGCCGCCTGGAGCCAGCCTGCGCCGCTTTGAGGCGGCCACTTTGCCAGCCCGCAGCCTCAGCTGCATCAGGCAGCGGAAGGGAAGGCTGTTGTCGGCGTTCACTGCTGCACCAGCAGCCGAAGAGCCACCAGCAAACGAAGAGTTGAGGGCCAGCCTGCCCCATTGGCCGCCCCAGCCGCCGCAGGCAGCTGGCAGGAAGCTGCCATGCTGGCTCTCCTCTATGAGGCTCCTGAGCCACAGCGCCCCTACCCGCAGCCGCGCGAGCAGCGCAACTGCGGCGAGACAAGGACCCTCACTAGGCGCGGCGTGGCCGCTCTTGCCCTCCATGCAGGCGCTGCCAGCGGCGCCGCCGCTGCTGCCCGGCGGCGCGGGCTTGACCAGGTGCAGTTGTAGCCAGCCCCCTTGGCTGCCGACGCCAGCGCCGTTTGCTGCTAGCGGCAGCAGCAGCGAGATGCGGCAGGAACCACCCGGCAGCAGCGGCGCGAGCCGCGCGCCGGCCTGCCAGGACGGCTGGCGCGATGACTCAGGGGTCCAGGTCAGCAGCAGTTGCCACCCGGGGCCGAGGGCGTCCCGCGCAGACGCATTGACCAGCTGCGCGCTCACTGCGAGGTGCAGCGCCGCCGCGCCGCCGTTGCCGCCGCACGCCGCAGCGGGCGCCGACCATACACGCTCCAGCTCCAGGCGCGCCCGCAGCCCACCAAAGCCGCCCCAGCCGCCGCGGGGTGCACCCTCTTGCGCTGTGGCACTTGGCGGGTTGAGCTGCGGAGCAGCTTCCGACAGACCGTCCGGCTGGGCCCCTGCGTCTGCGCCGCCACGCAAGAGGCCGAGCTCCTGTGTCGCCCCTGCCAGCGCTGCGTCCGCAGCCACGCCCTGCTCCTGCAGCCGCGCGCGCAGCGCCGCAAGCCGCCGGAGCGCGGCGGCGACGTCGCGCGCGGATGCGCGCGCCGCGCGGGGTCTGAGGCCGCCGGCCGCCGGCGCCGCCCCCGCCGCGTCGCTCAGGCGCACGTCGAGCGCGGCGCCGCCCTCCGTGACTGCGGTGACCGCGCCTCGCTGTCCTCCCGCCGCGCAGAGCGCACGCACGGGCGCCGGCAGCGGGACTGGCATCAGATCCAGCATGGCTGGCAGAGGACCCTGCTCCGCATGCGTCCCCGCGCCGTCGCATCGGAGCGTCGAGAGGTCACACGCGTACAGATCCCCGCGCCGCCCCAGCAGTGCGAGCCACGCGCCGCCGTCGACGCAGCTCCCGAGCGCCGCCCCACGCGGCCGCAGCGGCAGCTGCCGCTGGTGCGTCGCGAGGCCGTTGACGCACAGGCGGCCGCCGCTCGCCGAGTGCAGCACCCGCAGCAGTGGCGCGAGCGCAGCCGGCAGCCGCGGGGCCGCGTGCAGCAGGAGCAGCGCGCCGCGGGCGCCCACTAGCAGCAACGCGTCTGCGCGGGCGCTGCCGCCGTCGCCGCCATCGCAGTGTGCGCCGCTTTGGTCGCCTGCGTCACGGCTGCTGCTGCGCTGCCTGGACAGCTGTGCGAGCCGCAGCGGCAATAACGCGACCAACGGTTGCCCCAAATCCACAAGGAGAGCGTCGTTGCCACCCTCTGCTTGCTTCAAGCTTGGCGTCGCCGCGGCCTGGTTGCCGCCCGCGCGTTCCAGCACGGCCGCTGCCACCCCGCACGCCCACAGCTGCCCGCCCGGTGCCGCCTCCAAGACGCAGCCGCTGCACGCGTCGAGGGGGCCTGCGGCGCCTTGCAGCACTGCATTATACAGTTCCCATGTTACGGGACAGTGGGTTGCGGCCAGCTTGGCGGCTGCCGCGCGCATCAGGCCGCCGTGCTCGCCTGCCAAACCATCACCACCACGGCTGCCATCGCGGCCCAGCCTGCTGCCGACGTGGGGTGCAGGCGCCAGGAGAGCTGTGAGGAGCCGCAGGTCTGCGGGCAGCTGGTGCTTGTGCTGGTGCGACGCGCCAACTGCCGCTGCCTCGCAATGAGCTTGCTCGGGGCCTGAGCGCCATGTGGGACCCGGGTCGAGCAGGAGTGGCAGCAACAGTGGCGCTAGTTCCTGGCCCAGGCCTGACATCGGCCCTCGGCCTGTGCAGTGGGATTCGACGAGGGCAGCAGCGCTGCTTGAATGGCCTGCAAACAAGTGATGGAGCTCGTTGTCAAAGCTGTCGAAACTTGCTGCTTGAACTCTGTCAAGATCACTGTGTGTGATGCAGTGAGCTGACAGCACCAAGCTCTCATAAATGACCAAATGCACCTATTTTAGGAAGCGCACGGTGGGATTGCTTGCGGCTGTCATCACACACCCACCGGGGGGTCACCACGCCAAGAATTCTGGCATCCTTGATTGGCCTCTAAGTCTTGTTGCCCCAGATGAAACCGTCATACGGTAAATTTAAAAGTGTTTCCGGGACAGGCTTGCACACGCGCGAAGCCTACACGAGAAAAGCCTCCCTGTGCAACTTGCAAGGCGGCCAGCACAAAATTTGCCGCTGGCGCAGGAGAGCGTGACTCAAACTTGAAGTACCCCACCTTACTTACAACCTCTGCAAGGTGGGACGAAGGTGGCTGTCTGCCTCGTGCTACCTGCGCTGAGCTGAGCGATCGCCCCTCGGCTGCCTCGTGCTTCGGTGTCTGCTTTGCTCAGAACAATATTTCTTTGCTCTTCGCGCCCAGCTGGAAGCCACACACGCCGAGCCGCCCTTCTGACACGCACTCACTTTCCATGAATCACTAAACCCCTCGTCGCAGGCTCCGCAGCGCGCTATCGTGTTCGAGGACGGCCGCATGAGGAGTAAGCAGGCCCCACGCGGGCCCCACGACGCGATGGCCCCCGCCGTGGCCACGCCCGTCGACGCCCCGCTGACAGCCAGCACTGGCGCCCAAGGCATTGAGGTCCGCCCCGCCCGCGCCACAAAGGGGGTGCCCGCGCCATTCGTGCAACAGCAGCAGCTGCAGCGCGCCGCAGCCGCAGCCGCGGCTGCCGCGGCGGTGGCCGCGGCGCCGGCCGCCCTCCAGCAGCAGCTCCAGCAGCAGTACTTCCTTCCCAGCCACACCCTCGACCCCGAGGGCCCCCGCGCAGCCGCCCGCCAGGCGGCCGCGGCCGCGTTCGGCTCCTCCTCCCCTGTGGCTGGCGCCGGCGCGGCGCGCAAGTTCAACAACCAGTACCGCGGCGTGAGGCAGCGGCCGTGGGGCAAGTGGGCCGCGGAGATTCGGGACCCGACTAAGGGGCAGCGCCTGTGGCTGGGCACGTTTGACACCGCTGAGGAGGCCGCGCGCGCCTACGACTCGGCGGCGCGCGAGATCCGCGGCCCCAACGCGGTGCGCTTGCAAATCCGGGCGCGCGCCCGGGTGGCGGGAGGACTAGGGGGAGGACAGGCGGGCGCGGGCCCCGCGCGTCGGGTCGGGTCTGCCGTGGCGGCCGTTTGACTTTGAGTATGCATAACCGGCGCGCCAGAGTTTGCCGCGGGAATTTTCATACTCGGGCACGCGAGTGACGACCTCCCTCAAACGGCTCGCTCCTGGATCCCGCACCATACCCAGATCTGCAACTTCCCGTCCACCGACAACGAGAAGCGCAACGCCCTGGCGCTCGGCGGCGGCGGCGGTGGCGGCGGCGGCGGCGCGCTCTACCGCCCCGCCCGCTTCGCAGCTGACGAGGACGCCTGGTCGGACGGCGAGCCCGCCGCGCCCCGCGCGCCGCGGCCGGGCGGCATGTCTTGCACCCGCGCCGCGCGCGCTGTCGCGGCCGGCGTGCCGGCCGCCGGCGCGGAGTTCGCGGGAACCGCCGCCGCGACCACCACTGCCGCCGCGCAGGCCCCCATCGCGCTGCCGCGGCTCGCCGTGGCGCGCCGCAGCGCCGTGCCGCCC